GGGAACCAGCAGTTAGCGTAATGGCTATGTCGCTGGACTCCCACGTAGTCGACCGCGGTTCGCGTCTCAGACCCGGTGGCTTAAATCTCACGCCGGGCGCGTGTGCGTGCGTGCCCAAGATCCCGAGAGGAGAATGGAGGAGAAGGGATTGCGGCGTGACCATCCCCCCTGGGGGGTGATTTCTCGCTTTCTGTCTCTATGTCTCTGTCTGTCTGGCTGTCTGGCGATGCCACGCCCCCTATAGCGAAAACCTCTCAAAAAAAAAAAAAAAGAGTTGAGAACCCTTTAACCTCTGTTAAAGGGTCAAGAAGAAGAATCGACCTTTACTGAGCAACTACTATGTGCCAGGCACTGTGCTCAATGACTTGAATGTTTTATTTAGTACTCAGAGGTAGGTGTGCTCATCCTTAATTTCAGGTGAGAGAAACTGAGTAAGTTTCCTCTAACTCAAGTGGCTCTGTGTTAATTATAAAGATAAATAAAATGGTGATGACATAGTTTAATCTCCCCCTTTCCTCTGTGCTTTATAGCATTAGTTCCCCCTTGGGGTCAACTGGTGGCCTGGTCGTTCAGGCAGCTGGATCCCACATGGTTTGTGGGATCACGTGGTTTGAGTCCCAGACCTAGCAGCTTGAGAAACACTCTGGGTACTTGTGCATGTGCGCCCAAAATCCTGGAAGGGAGAATGGAGAAGGGATTGCAGTGTGTCTATCCATCATGGGGTGCACTTTCTCACTTTCCCTCTCTCTGTCTATCTTTGGCATGTGCCGTTTGCCAAATTAAAAACAAAACAAAACAAATAGACAATAACATTAGCTCCCATTTATCAGTTTTCCAGGGAAAGGGAAAAGTGATCTATGGATAGCGTTCTCATAGCTTGTTACGAGATCTTGAATCCTAACCATGGTGTTATTGACTTCTCTTAGGGTCCTATCCTTCCCCCAAAGCTGGAGCAACTCTGGTCGTGTACAAGGACTTGCTAGTGCTATTTGGAGGCTGGACGCGGCCAAGCCCTTATCCCCTACACCAACCAGAGAGATTCTTTGATGAAATACACACTTACTCACCTTCTAAAAACTGGTAAGTCACAAAGATAAGCTCTTTTAAATCTGGAAAAAAAAGGTTTTGCTCCACTGTTTTGTGTTTTTAATTACTAGAGGGATGTGTGTTACCAGAGAGGAAGGGAGAAAGCTCCCTGTGATGGGATGTGGTCACGCCATTTCTCTTCTCCATGTCTCCAGCTTGTTGAGGGTTTGGGGCGCACACACACCTAGCATGTTTCTCAAGTCGTCATGGCCAGGATTCAAACCTCTGTCAGCCCTATAGGATCCAGTTCCCTTAACTGCTAGGCTAAGAGGCTGGCCCCTGGAAAAAAAGGTTCTTATTTTATTTTTCTTTTATGACTTGTTATACACGTTCAATCATTGTACATCTCTACAGCACACAGTATGTTTTTCAGGGTAAGCATACAATAGGCAATAAACAAATCAAGGTTACTACTTCCAATTTGTTTTCTTTTTTCTTAATTTTATTCATTGTCATTATTTTTTAAAAGAATTATTTTATTCATTTATTTTTATTCTTCAATTAGACCAGAGATGAGACAGAGAGAGAAGGAAAGTGAGAGAGCAAGCTGCCAGATCTGGGACTTGAACCATGGTCAGCCTTGTAGGAGTCCTGCCGCCTTAACTACCACACCACCTGCCGCCCCCCCCCCCCCCCATTGCTTTTCTTTTTTTTTTTTTTTTTTTTTGCTATAGGGCGTGTGCGCTCACCCGAAAGACAGAGAGAGACACAAAATGAGAAATCACCCTCCAGGGGGATGACCATGCTACAATCCCTTCTCCTCCATTCTCCTCTTGGGATCTTGGGCACGCACGCACACATGCTGGGCGTGAGTTTAAGCCACTGGATCTGGGACTCAAACTGCGGTCAACTACATGAGAGTCCAGCAACATAGCCATTACACCATCTGCTAGTCTCCCCCTCATTGGTTTTCAAACATGTCTTTCTTCAGTGACAATATTCCTGTTCCTTATAACGGGATACTTAGCATATGGCTTTTATACTGATTAGGACCACAGAGAAAAAGTGGCAGATAGTGTTTCTTCAGTGAACCAAGTGGAAGCAGCCAAGAATCTGTGATCTAGTCTCTTGTCATATCTTCTCATCTCTCTACCTCCACACCAGCCTCACTGACACTTTGCTATAGGGCGCATGCACTCTTCAGAGAGACAAACAGAAAGAAAGATACCACCCCAAGGGGGGATGGCCATGCCACAGTCCCTTCTCCTCCATTCTCCTCTAGGGATCTTGGGCATGTATGCACACGCGCCCAGTGTGAGTTTCAAGCCTCCAGGTCCGGGACTCAACCATAATTGGCCATGTGGAAATCCAGCGACATAACCATTACACCATCTGCTGGTCCCAAAAGTGAATATAACTTTCAGTGAGTCTATAGGAAAATCATACTTTATGCCATCTTCCATTTATTATCCTAACAATATGTCTATTGAAGTTGATAGGATTGTCACTTTACTTATGTATGTATCTAAATTTGCCAGAGGGCACATGTGCTCACTGGAGAGAGATACAGAGAGAGAGAGAGAGAGAGAGAGAGAAACTGAAAAAGCATCCCCCTTGGGGAATGGCTATGCTGCAGTCTCTTCTGGGATTTTGAGTACATGCACCCAACATGATTTTCAAGGCGCCAGATCTGGAACTCAAACTGCAGTCAGTTCTATGGGAGTCTAACACTTTAGCCACTATACCACCCACTGGCTACCAGGTCATTATTTTAAGTGGATGCCTACTTACTGTTTTTCACCTTAAACTCATAAGGTTCGAAGCAGAAGTAGCTGACATCTTGGTTTCCTCCTGTCTTTTTACATTAGGTGGAACTGCATTGTAACAACCCATGGGCCACCTCCTATGGCTGGTCATTCCTCTTGTGTGATAGATGATAAAATGATTGTTTTTGGTGGCTCTTTGGGATCCCGGCAAATGTAAGTATATTTGGTTTGCTCCCTGTTAACCTAAAGTTAAATACTCTTGGGAATAACAGGTCAGAAAAGCAAACTAGTCGAGGTTAGCATTTCTGAGCTAGTTAATTCAGCTAGTTATCTCACCCGACAGGCCTGTTTGTTTTTTAATGAGAGAAGGAAGGTATTTTTTGACATGGTCTCGCCATGTTTCAATCCTCATGTCCTGGCCCCGTAGCCAGCCAGAGTCACAGATACCATCACTGTGCCCAGCCCACCCAGGTTGGTTCAGGAGCTGAACCTGGCCCTCGCCTTGCACAGTCGGTCCCCACTACGTGCACCACAAGCTGGGCCTGGCATTCTCTTTGATCTTCTAGTCACAGACTTCAGTAGATTGGAAAACTTGCTTCATATAATCAAGGTTACATGGAATCTCTTTTGTTTGATGCGTGGCTCTATTCAGTAGGATCAACTTCTGCTTTGTCTGCTATGCCGTGCCTAAGGCCACCCTCCAGGAGCAGAGCACTTTCACTGCTCTACACCGTCACCCAGCCCTTGCCCTTTTGGGCATCAGAAAAGGCGAGGACAGGACAGTGGAAGTTGTGGGCTCTCCAGAAGGGGTAGGTAGCAGAGTGGGTAGCAGCAAGAAGACAGAGTCAAGTGTGACACCATTCTGCTGGGCTCTCCTCCCGACCCATTGTCCTCTCAGACACTTCTGATCCTAATGGGTCAGCACAGGCCAGAGTCAGGAGCCAGAGCAGTCCCTCTGTCGTAGTTTATCTGACGTGGCCGGGCAGTGGTGGTGATCGTTTCCCCATGCTCTGAGTGGACGCTGATGAGCTGTCTGCACTGAAAACATCCCAGACTCAACCCTGTCCTCTGTTAGGCAGAGTACTAAAAATCTTCGTATTTTAAAATCTTCCTGTTTTTAAAGTCTTGGTATTTTAAAACAGTTACAGAGAAAGACTGTAGGATAAAAGGAATAAGAGGGTTTAGATTTAAGATATTGGAACTGTTATTTCCATATGTTAATAAATGGCTATAGAGAGGTGACTATAAAATAGAGACTGCCATCCGCGTGTCTGTTCTGCCATGTTGGTCCCTTGGGGATTGAAAATACCAATTGTTCTTGTTAAAACTGCAGCTTTCATTAGCCATTATGAAATGACTTTATAAGTCAGGTCGATAAAGGGCTTGTCCTGGGACAGCACTCGAGCTGCCTTTCGAATCACTTTGCTCTTCCTTGTGGCTTTTGTTTTTGGGGGACTACAGCTTGACTAGTAGCTATTTCCTGCTGTCGCCACTTAGCTTTCACTTAAGGTACCGGTGTGTGGCCACAGACGTGACTCAAGTGAGGCCTGTGGACACCAGAAAGGAAGGGTTTGAAGTTCTCAAGATGACTTCTAGGGAAAGTGGGGGAAGAAAAATGCAGTTTAAATGTTAACTATGAGCATGGCACTTTGCCGGGCATCTTTATAATTCCTTTTATATCAGCTCTTCCAAAGAGTAGCAGTATTTCCATGTTAGAAGTAAGGAAACCAAAGTTAGGGGAAATTAAATTACTTTTCCAGGCTGCAGACCTGGGATTTAACCATGTTTTTCCTGGTTCTGAAGCCCGAACTCTGAGGAGGCCATCTCTAAAGTCTCCCTCAGCCTAGACAGACTGTGCCAAGTGAAAATGGTGCGACTTTACCAGCATAGGCATGCAGAGCCCCCAGCCACCACTGCGGTCCCTGGGCGCTCCCAGCACCCTCATCCTTCTGTCCTTATCTCACAGGAGCAACGATGTCTGGGTCCTTGACCTCGAGCAGTGGGCGTGGTCCAAGCCGAACATCTCCGGCCCCAGTCCTCATCCTCGGGGTGGCCAATCTCAGGTGCTCAGGAATTAGAATAACTGTTCACCACAGACTAGCATCTTTCACTTAGGGTGGGAGAGGGAGGAGGGAGTCAGGTAAGATGCCAATATGTGCTAAGCCAAAGAGAATTATTGAGCGTTCTTTTTTGTTGGTATTTATTTTCCAATTTCTAGTGGGTCATATGATTTATAGCAGCTTTATATTATCCCTCTCCCATTGACTATGCTATTTCAGTTGTCAAGAAGACCCCACATTTTATGTGATTGACACCTTCATGTTAATATTTAATCAACAAAGAATATATCCATTCAGGTGAATCAGCAGTAGTTATTGAGGGGATCAGAATTGATGCGGTTTTGGGAGAATGGAAAGTTTATGGCAACTAGAACACTCTCATTTGGGAGCCGGGTGGCTGTTTTCATGTGCCACTGAAGCATAAGAATCATGTACTGTGTCTTAATAGATTTATTTAAAATTTCTTCCCCTCCCCAGATTGTCATAGATGATGCAACCATCTTAATCCTTGGAGGGTGTGGCGGTCCCAATGCTGTGAGTACTGCTTGTGTGGTATTCCATGTGCATGCTGCTCAGTGTTCACAACTTCCCTCCCCTGTCTCATTTTATAAAAGTACAATACTTTCTCCATGGCACTTTCATTTAGGGACTGCCTTTTCAACCTCGGTTATATAGCTTTCACGTTTTCTGGCCTTTTCCCTCACTCTTGTTTGGTACTGGCAGAGCTTATAATCAGAGACTTGTCTCTTGAATATTCATGCCTATATCCTTCATCTTTAGGCTGTATGGTTTGCTGCTATCAGGTTGCTAACTGTCAGGGTCCACGTGGGGTTTAAGAATGCAGACTCGGGGCCGGCATGTGGCATGGTAGTTAGGGATGCTGGACTCCCACATGGCTGACTGCGGTTTGAGTCCTGGACCTGGCGGCTTGCTTTCTCACTTTCTGTCTCTGTCTCTCTCTGTATTATACTCTGTTCCTCTCTGGCCAAATTAAAAGAAAGAAAGAAAGTTAAATAAAATAATTCTTTTAAAAAAAAGAATACCAACTCCAAGAGATAGATCTGTGTTATCTACTGTCTCCCTCAACCCCTAGTATGTACACAGCCAAAGCAATGGGCAAGATTTAGAACCATTACGGTTGACTCCTGGGTCACAAGCACAGCTCCATGTGCCGGGCCTGTGGTAGCACGTGAATGAGTGCAAGCGACACTGCATAAATAACTGAGGGTTCGGGGTTCTTTGCAAAGAGCTCATGCACTGTTTAGACCAGACAGCACAGATTTGAGACTGCAGCTCTGTGAGTGTGTTTTATAGCACGTACCACACCTGAGTCTTGTGCTTGGCCCTTTTCTTACAGCTGTTCAAGGATGCTTGGTTGCTGCACATGCACTCAGGTCCTTGGGCCTGGCAGCCACTCAAGGTAGAAAATGAAGATCATGGGGCCCCAGAGCTGTGGTGCCATCCAGCTTGCCGGGTAAGCGGGGACTGACAAGTCAGCAGAAGGAGGGCCCTGAGCCGGGGAACCAGATCAGTTCGTCAGAGTTCAGAGGGAATGCATACAGAAGTAGAAAGCACCTTGGTGCCCCAAAAGAAATGGACAGTGACCGTTGCTTCTTTGGCATTTCTCACATATATGAGCCCTAGATGAGAAAACTACGTGGGCCCCACTCGGCCTTTAAGTCCCAATTTTAAGCCTCTCTTTGTCTATGAAACTTTCTCTGAAGTCCCTCAAACAAAACTCCCTCTATCTACTGATGGCACACGTCACACTGAAGCAAAAGTTATCCCTTATATCTTTCCCCTTCTAGCCCAAAGAACAGGCTGTGTTATTTCCACTTCTGTATCTCAGGTACTTACAGAATAACTGGCATGTCCTGGGTGCACATGATAAAACATTTATGATTGAATGAGTGACTTAGAATCCTAGAGGTGTCTGTGCTCACGGGTCCTCTGTCTTCCAGGTGGGACAGTGTGTGGTGGTCTTCAGCCAGGCTCCCAGTGGGAGAGCTCCACTCAGCCCCAGTCTGAACTCTCGCCCCTCACCTATCAGTGCCACTCCTCCAGCCCTGGTTCCCGAAACCCGAGAGTACCGCTCTCAGTCTCCAGTAAGGAGTATGGATGAAGCTCCGTGTGTGAACGGCCGCTGGGGAACACTGAGGCCCAGGGCTCAACGACAGACTCCCTCAGGTTCTCGGGAAGGGAGCCTCTCCCCAGCCAGAGGAGATGGCTCTCCTATCCTGAATGGTGGGAGTTTATCCCCAGGGACAGCAGCTGTTGGGGGCTCTTCCTTGGACAGCCCTGTGCAGGCCATATCGCCCAGCACTCCATCTGCCTCTGAAGGATATGACCTAAAAATGGGACTTTCTTTGGCCTCCCGACGAGGGTCACTACCAGATCAAAAAGATCTGAGATTAGGATCAATAGATCTGAACTGGGAACTGAAACCTGCTTCCAGTAGCAATCCTGTGGATGGGGTGGATAGCAGGACAGTTGGGGGGAGTGTAAGACACCCTCCTGAGCAGATGAACGGTGTGCACACCCCACCACATGTGGCCAGTGCCCTTGCAGGGGCCGTCTCCCCAGGCGCCCTGCGTCGGAGCCTGGAAGCCATCAAAGCAATGTCATCCAAAGGCTCCTCAGCCTCCGCAGCACTAAGTCCGCCTCTCGGGTCTTCTCCAGGCTCCCCTGGGAGCCAGAGCCTGAGCAGTGGAGAAACAGTACCTATCCCGCGCCCAGGGCCTGCCCAAGGAGATGGACACTCTCTGCCTCCTATTGCCCGCCGCCTAGGCCACCACCCTCCACAGTCCCTAAATGTCGGCAAACCCCTATACCAGAGTATGAACTGCAAGCCCATGCAGATGTACGTGCTGGACATCAAAGACACCAAGGAGAAGGGGCGGGTCAAGTGGAAAGTATTTAATAGCAGTTCTGTGGTTGGACCTCCTGAGACGAGTCTGCACACCGTGGTGCAAGGCCGGGGTGAACTTATCATATTTGGAGGGCTCATGGACAAGAAACAGAATGTGAAGTACTATCCGAAAACCAACGCCTTGTACTTTGTGCGAGCAAAGAGATAATGTGTTCTAACCCCCCTTCCCTTTCTGTGGCTTTTAATTTGGAATTTTCCAGTGTGCAGGCATTTGGATTGAGAATTGGGGAAAACAACAGAAGTACTCCCATAAACCAAAACTCCAATTACCAACCTAACTCAGTCCAGGCTGGGATCAAATCTCCATTAGAGAAAAAGAAAAAAAGAAAAAGAAAAAAAATTATATATATAAGAATATATATATACATACATATATATATATATATATTATATAGCCAACTGTTTACAAATGGGAGCAATCTCCATCCCAGCTCAGAAAAATTGTTGCTGTGTTTTAGCAGAGGCTGTCCTGCCTTTTTCTACTTTACTGATAACTAGACCATAAAGTTAGGGAACAGATTAACTAATATCTGTAACTTTCCAAAAGAAACCGAAGAGCCCCCCGTAAATCTGTACGTGGCCTTCTCGGAATTAGAAAACAAACAGAAACTATACGATGCAAAGGGGGAGGTTTTCAGACACACATGCTTCAGGTGCTGGCAGGGTAGAAGGAACTTAGCAAAAACCGTTCTTCCCTTTCTCTTCTTAAAGCTGTAGAGGCCCCGGGACAAGTCTGCAGAAATGCCCTGTGCCCGACCCTTTCCACTCTTGATGACTGAAGAAGAGTTACCGTCAAGGGGTTTTGTTCCACGTGTGTGTGCCAGGATCGTTGAGAAGTAACGTTCATGCGGCTGACATCTGTCTGCCTAGTGTCCTGGTCTCTCGAGTGCTCCCTATTTGTTTCAGAAAACATTCTGGTGTCTGATTATGGAATTTTCTGACAATCGTATTTGGTTGCAAGTTGCCAAAAACCATATTTGTTCTTTTCCTTCCCTTGGAACTTGGTTCTCAGAGGCTGCCTTTTCCGTTTAGAGGCTTTTGTTTCTCCCATATGTGGATTTTTAAAAACCCTGAAATGTTTGTTTCTTTTATAAAGCCCTGGTGCCTAGAAAAATCAGATGCTTCATAGAAATATTTCTAGGAACTCTTCCCTAGTATCACTAGGGGCTGGTAGGGAATTCTAAGATGCCAGTGTCATAAGAAATCCTCGGAACATCAAAAGATAACAAGATAAGTTTCTCAAAGCACATTGGGCACACCCGTTCATATTTGTAGAAATTGATCCTTGAAGGGAACTTCATTAATAATTCCTTTCAGAAATGCCAGAAGTGGTTTTCTCCCTCGTGATGTGCATTCTTCTCCCTGGCTGCTGTCAGATGACTGGGTTGGGTATCACCTCCTTGGCCTTCGTGATAAGTTGCTGACCCCAGGAACACTTCCATCCTTTGTGCTTGTCTTGTTCGTGTGTCACACAAATAGGGTTGGGTTTTTCTTTCCCTTCAGTTATGAGAGAGGGTACAACCAAATAGAGCATTTCTTGATACAGAAAGTTGGACATTGGGACCAGCAGATGGCATAATGATTACATCTCTGGACTCGCGATAGACAACCGTGGTTCGAGTTCCAGACCCAGCGACTTAAACTCACACTTGGGTGTGTGTGTGTGTGTGTGTGTGTGTGTGTGTGTGCGTGCGCACACGTCCTATATCCCAAGAGGAAAATGGAGAAGTGATTGCGCCATGGCCATCCCTCCTGAGGGATGACTTCTGCTTTTTGTCTCTCTGTCTCTCTCCCTGGCTAGTGCATATGTCCTGTAGCAAAAATCTCTCAAAAACAAACAAAAACCCCCAGAAAGCTGACTGTTAACTAGACTGACTCATGGCCTGGTCAGAGGAGATAAACAAATAAGTTTATTTCAAATGGCACCATTTAAATATGGATTTGGATTTTTGATTTCTCATCAGTGGAAATATTTTTATTTTGCCTTTAGGATTTAAATTTCAGTGCTTCACCTCTCCCACCTCCACACTCCCCTTTGTCTTGTTAGCATTTCCCAGGCACAAAGCTACTGCAGGTTTTCCTGGCTCCTGGCCTGAGGCCAACTCCTAGCAGTCAGTCCAGTAGAAGTGTTTTCTCTTGATACATCATGTTGAAGCTTTTCCCCTGGGCATCAGCTTTTACAGTGTGGTCATGGTGGGAAAGCCCTCCTGGTGCCCAGCCCAGGAGAGGGCCAGCTCACAGGAGTGTGTGTTCCAGAATTTGCTCTCCATGCTCCCGCAGATGGGGAAACAGCCATGTACCTACTGACTGTGGTGTCTGACTGCTTGAAGCTCTGCACTTCGCTTCCCAGACTCCCTGTGCTGGGGCTGTCTGGTCCTTCCTTAGCAAAGACTGTTCGATCTTGTGGATTCCTCATATACAAGGGAAAACTAGCTCAGAGGGTTAGCAGTTTAGGGTAATATCTTGCTACTTACAAACCTTGTTTATGATATTGCATTTGTGCATGAACAGTGCCTCCAAACAGTTCCGGTTAAATACCAAGTACTTGGAAGCCTGAGAGTTCAGAATCTCAACTTCGCAGTCTTCCCCTTTGTCTGGTGGCCTTCTTCAGCCCGTTGTTAACCTGTCAATTGCTTCTGCTTTCCGACAGAAATGCTGATTCTCTTAGAAAGTACTCCAGTTCCCCTGAACTCCCTGGCGACCCAGTATTACCTACACTGCTTGGAAGCAGACTGTCCGTTTACAGCTCTTTAAGAAAGATCTGCCTTGTCCGCACCTGGTGGTGCTGTCCTGGGCTCCTGGGCACTGTGGGTACATGTTGGGGGCAAGAGGCTCAGCCCCATCGAGGCAGGGGTCTGCTCAGGCCCTTGTGAAGGGTGCGTGTGGTGGCACTTCAGGGGTCTCAGCCGAGGCGAGCGTGTCCGCCGTGCCGCAGATGCTTCAGTCCCATCGGATTTAACTGCGACTCCGTTTTGACATGTTACCCATTTTGTCTTAAGGTTCACTGAGAAAAATGAGACAAAATATTTTTTTTTAAACTCTCAGGAGCACCTAAAGCAAATATTTATCAGTATTTAAGTATTTAAAATACATTTTGTTTCTACTTGAAGCTTTAACCCCTTCCATCCCTGCAAGTGTGCCTTGAGAGCCCCCATGTCACAGTGACGTCCCCAGCCACCTCATTGACCCGATGTAAGAAATTTAGTCTCTTCCTTACCTCTCGGGCAGAACTTTCTGTTCGCTTGTCTCACAGGTAATGCAGCAGCAGGGGCTTTGTACTTTATTCTGTCTCCACCCTTCATCCACGAGTGGTGGGTGCCATGTCCCCTCTACCTCCACATTTCAGGAGCGTATTTTAGGTGTTAAAACAAATTAGATGCTGGAAGTTTAAATTTCATTTTAGGACGCTTCTGGGCTTACTCTCCCCCGGCCCTCTGTGGATTGATTTGATTATAATGTTTAAGTTTTATAGCAAGAGCCAAAACCATGAGCTATCCTAGCAACTATGTTGGAACTCTTTAAAATAAGGAGAAGAGAAGAGGAGGAAGAAAGAAAACCACCTTCAGAAGCCCTGGCTTTGGAGAACAGAAAGCCACCAGTCAATGGAGAACAAAGGGTTGTCTCCCTTTCCTTTTCCTGTCTTTCTGGGTTTCCTTCTGCTTTGCTTTTTTCCTTCCTTAAAAGTGATATTCCTGGTTGGTTTGTCTGTCTGTCCTTGTCCTGTGGTGATTCTGGCATGGTGATATGTTCTGCTTTGCATTATCTGTGGTCTGTTAACCGGCACCCAAGTCGGCGGGGAGGATCCCAACACCCAGGGGCAAGAAAGGTGAGCGCGGGCCTGTGTCTCGTGCAGCCTCCCCGTGGACTGCAGAGGGCGTGTTCTGCTCGGGCCCCAGTAAGGGGCTCCCTCTCACATGTTCATTGTCAAGTGAGAACACGCCTTAGGTGTTGGCTCTATTGTGCTCTCTCCGACCCTTTCTGCGCCCCTCCACCAACCAGGGTTCATGTCAGCGCACACCCACCGTGCCCTGGCGAAGCTGGTGCTGTGAGTGATGTTTCCTGGACGGCTCAGGGCTGCCGGCGGCTTCCCCTGAGACAGTCACTTTAGTCACATAACAGTGTAGGAATGAAAATGGACTTCACTGATACTTACATCTCTGTCGACTCATTTTTTTGTTAATGTTTTCCCCGATGACTTTTTAGCAGTTTAACAAATAAAACAAAATGGACAGAATTGACTTAACTGTTTTATTAATAAAAGAAAAATTGCTGCGGTGGAAGGCAGTTGTGGTTAGAGATTGAAGTTAGGAGCGGAGTAGTTATAGAAAGATTCTCTTCCTCTCAGAGGGCCGTGTTGCGGGGAGATGTGGAGTTGCCCTTCCCGGGAGACGGTAGCATTTACTGCGGAAGCATCTCCCTCTGCCACACTCGAAGGACTCGGTGTTTGAGCACCTCAGCATCGTCCGGTATGAGGGAATGAGCTGGGAGCAGAGGCCCAAGGGCCAGGAGGACATCTGTGCCGTCCCTGACCTGGGCAGAGAAAGGATGGTTGGGAACCCGGGCCTGAAGCTCCAGAGTCCTGAAGCTTCATCCTGCCAGCCTCCATTTACTGCTTGACCTTGCGTAAGAGTGTCCTCATCTGTAAATGTGATTGCTTCCTCCACCTTACAGGACCACGAGGATTAGGTCGTGGATCTGGAAAGCACCAGCAGTGTCTGGCATGTGGCAGGTTGGTGGCCACTGGCACTCCCAGCCATGGTCTTTGCTTTCTGGATAGTGAAGGGCCAGGGCCTGTGTACACTGCACATGAGTTCTCACACCCAGCCCGTGTCCACTGTCACCCCGCTCCTCAGCCCGAAGCCCTGCCTCACCTCACCCTTCCTGCAGGCAGCCTGAGGAATGTCCCTGGAGGTGGTGGGCTTTTTGCATCTTCGGGTCAGGCAGGACGGGAGGCATCGCCCCAGCATCCGTCAGTCCAGTCTGCATGCAGTGCTGCCAGCGGGACTGGGCTCACACTTGGTGCCAGGCGGAGGAGAGCCTGCTCTTCTGCTCTCATGGCCCTACCAGCCCTCTTCTCACAGCACTACCCGCCAAGCAGCCCAGCATCCCTGTGCATGCTGAGCGAGGTGGCCGTGTCTCTGTGGGGGACGTGTTCAAATAGGCTGGTGACTTACACGGGAGGAGATAGTAGATGGTTTTTGTATCGGATCGAGGAAGGGGTCACGGGACTCCCAGTGCTCTTTCAACTCTTCAGATGGTTCTCAAAGAGTTCCGAAGGAACTTACTTCAGAGAGGCAGCAGGACAGGGCCACAGGCACAGGCTTTGGATCAGGACAGGCCTCGGTTCAAAAGCTGCCTCTGTCACTGAGATGGGGCCAGTCAGCCTCTTATTTTTCTAAAAGGTTTTTGCCATAAGGCACATGCACTCACCGGTGAGAGACAGACAGTAACGGGAAGTGAGAAATCGCCTCACCCCCTCCCAGTGGTGGTGGTCTTACACAGCCCCTTCTCTTCCACTCTCCCCTGCGATTTGGGCACACATACGCCTATGCCCAGTGTATTTCCGAGCCCCAGCCTACCTCTGTAAGCCTCAGGGGCTTTTGTTTGTTTGTTTTTTAAGGTCTTTGCCATAGGGCGTGTGTGCTCAAAAGAGAGGCAGAGATGATCGCCACAATCCCTTCTCCATTCTCCTCAGACTTTGGGCATGCATATACATGTGCCCAGTGTGATTTTCTTTCCTTAGGTTTTTAATAATTAGTTTATTTGACTTTATTTATTTATTTATTTTGAAGTGAGAAAGCAAGTCACCAGGTCTAGGACTCAAACCACAGTCAGCCATGTGGAAGTCCA